AAAAAAGAAAAAACTCGTTTTCTTTCTTTCTTTCTTTCTTTCTTTCTGAATTTATTTATTTATTTTTATTCAGTGTTACTTTGTAATTATTTATTTTGAAAGTGTCTAAGAAAAAAAAATCAGACGAAAAGACTAGAACCCGTAGTCAGTCTACCGAAAGTGATGACACATCGAAAGCATTCTTACACAAAACAAAATCGGGGAAAAACGAAACTTAAGAAGGAAACAAAAGCTCTCTCCAGTGAAAAGTGCAAGCTGAGGGTTACACGAACTAAAACACCTACAACTTGACAAGATCTTTCGTTGTCTATAACTCTGGTAACATTTACTCCTGGGTTAAATTAGGACAATTCGTTTTAATTGTCTTTCACACGGACATTACATCGGGTCCTTGACGAATTCGAACCCACGACCTTACAGCTGAGAGTCCGAGAGTCTGACCACTGCATTACCGACATTTAAAAAATAAATTACACTTTTATTTGTCCCAGAAGGGCACTTTGGTTTATAATGGCAAACATACATATGTGAGGCACCATGGTGGAATCAGGCTCTCGTCAAAATACTCATAGTGAAGAAACTTGCATATTTTCCACAGGTTTGTGAATTTTTATAATCTTTTTTTTTTGCTCAACACCTTTCATGTCCATTAAAGAACTCATTTATGTGTCGAATTTTTTCTGAAAAACGTTGATTAAAGGCATAAAAATTGTAAATTTTCAGTTACCACGGACTCTTAAGCTAAGGAAATAACTGTTTGGCGGCCATTTTCTCACTAATTTTACCTCTGAAAACAGGTGAGCCCCACCTCCTTCTTTCGCAAATGTCTCGACTTGTATTCAAGATAAAAGGATTTTCCCCTCCAAATAAAGACAAGTGAACGAGCTTTAAGATGATACCAATAACTCTGCATGCCGAAAAATTAACGAGAGCCTTATTCCACCACGATGCCTCACAAATGTACATACTGTTGGGATTTTTGTTTGAGCAGAGATAAACAAGGAGAAGGAACTCGTTTCCCCCCCCCCCGATTTCCTCATTTAAGGGGGGGGGGGCTACACCTGGAGGCTATCTCGCTTATTAATAGACCGAATTTTACCAAATTTCACACATATAACAAGCATAGTAAGGAGTCTTAAAATCCGCAATCAAATTTGAGAAAAAAGTTTCGTTTCCATGGATACGTAATGAATACCGCACTTATCCCGCATGAAATTTGATTGTTTTTTTGCAGGCGTGTTCACAAACATCAGATCTAAAAATTTGTCTGTTGTTTTTTTCCTAATCGAATTAGAAAATTTTTAATGAATTTTTTCCTGAGGTAGCATTCAAGTTTGCGAAAAATCTGTGAAAATCCACACTCCAGACACCACCAACAAAAATCTATTCAATATATAAAAAATTCAACATACAAATTTTTAGTATTACCTCTTCTCTTCTTTCTGTGAAACTTTCATGAAGATTGAATGAAAAATGGCGGAGTTATTTAAAAAAGTATAGAGAAAAGTCGCATTTTGAGAAAACGGCCGATAAAGAAAAATAAAATACTGACTTTATGAGGAAATGGCGGTTACAAACATGCCCGGTATGGGAAAAAATACGGTTTTTGGGGGTTCTTATGCCATGAGATAGTTGTAGGAGAGACTGAGG